ATAAAAATAAAGATGTTGTGTCCATCTACAACTAAAAAAATATTAAATATATATATGAGAGATATGTGGTCCACTTAAAATAATATTTGTTTCACAGATCAGACAAGAGAGAGGCTCATGAGAGGAAAAGCAATTTTCCTCTTTTGTATGTGTTAGGGCAGAAAGGCCTGTGGACACTGCAGTTTTCTTTGAACAGTCAAGTCCACAAATGCTGTGAGCCCAGGTCCCTTAGTGGCCCTTCCTAAGGACTCTGTAACAATAACTTCCCAGTCAGTGACTCAACCTGTAAAACAAGGCTTCAGATCCCTGATCTGAAGTCAGATATCCAAATCAGAGAACCCAACTTCAAATCCCAACTCTGCCAGGAAGTAAAGGGATGGCCTTCTACTTCCACCTCTTTGCAGTTTCCTCATCTGCCAAATGAGGACAGAGTGATTATAATCCAGACATGGTGTTGTGAGCCACAAATCAATATATGTAACAAACTTGGCATAAAACTTGGCAGATTGTAAGAGCTCAAGGAAAAATCGAGAAGCACAGCCTCAAACCTATGAAATGATTCCACATATGCTGATTATTTGTCCCAAGGATGCTCATGTTCATGATTCTGTCCAACTACATAACTAGGTTCTTGTGCTGGGTGAAATGGGAAGGTTCTGAGGTACGGGTCAGCACAGGAGTGAGGCAAACTGCACGAAATTCCTACAACTACCTATGCCCTCTTTTCACTGTTAGAAAGTAGCTAGAAGAACTATATTCCAGCTTAAAGGACATGAAAAAAAAGTAAGGTAAACTAAAATGGCAAGATTGCTCATGTTGTTTGGGTAATTCTGTAGACAGCGATAAGGTATAATCACAAATCAAATGCCAGAAGAATGCAGGCTCTCTATCACATTAACCAAACACACAGTCAAAAAATAGCTGAACACTCGAAGCTCCCAAAGACTACAGCAAGACTATAGATTGTGATTGTTTAAAATTTAAAGAGAGGGGCGGGGAGGGAGGGAGGGAGAGGGTACTTCTTTTTTTTTTTTTTTTTTGGCATGAACCAAATGAATTTAAAACGAGAGAAACCAGATTTAATCTGTGAGAGAAGGAGCAGGCTCCTCTTTCAGTTGGCCAAAGAAAAGCATTCCAGCTCAAGGGGCACACACAGGCAAGAAATGTGAGACTCAATTTTTATTTCTCAAAAGGTACATTAAAGTTGACAACAAACCCTCTTGAAATTCCAAAATCTGAACAACAAAGTGGTAGAAAAAAGAAATTGATCTTTCAACGGAATTTACAATGGCAAAGAGAGCAACATATCTTCAGCAATACGTACATCAGGTATCTAAAAGGGGGTAAAGCTGAAAATGTGCCTCATTTTTAAAAAGCTAAATCACAAAATTAGTTAAAATATGTGAAGCATTTCCTAAAGTTAACTATTGGCTTGAAATCAGTAAAATAAATGACTGCTGTAAAAATGAAAAAGTTGAGCATATTTTATTTTCAGTAATGAATAAGATTCCAAAAGCAAAAGCAACCCCTCTCACAAATACTTTCAAACAGTTTCATTTTGACAAGATTTTTAAGTACCCTAGTAAATCCAAGCTTAATACCCATCACATATTTTGCAAAAGTAATAAAGCTGAGGCAATAAAAGAAGTCTCAATAAATCCCTACTTTCAAAGTATTGCTGACAAGAAGAATCGGTACCCTGGGTTTCTGACCGGATTATTCAATTTGACATATGAACAAAATGTAGTAAAACTTGCTTCAAGTACTGGTTACATAAGCATAAAATTCTTGTTTAATTCTTATTTAAAACACAAAGATCAATCACATACAAGTTCAAATCTCTCCCTTAATTCCTGTTGTTCAAGCGCCACCAGTCCCCTGCCAACCCTTGTGAAGCCTTCTTTCTAGTAATGTGGGTAAATATGTATTCATATTATCAGCTGTTACAACAATAAGAGTTCTCTACAATAAATTAATTTTATATTAGCTCCTCAAGGTGAAAAGAAGCATTATATCTAAAGGAATAAGATAAGAATAATAAAAAGAGCCAAAACATTTCCTCTTGTGAAAAACAAAAAATAGAAAAAAAAATTTCTATGAACTCCCTTGGTAAATTGTTGATTAAAGTTTACACTGGGGGAAAAAATATCTTCTAAAGTCTTGAATGAACTTAAAAAATGAAGAAAGTTGGGCAGTACAATTTTTAATGGTTAAAAAATTTTTGTTTCACTTTTAAGCTTTTTTACAGAATATGTAAAGAGCTGTAAAAATGAAAGTACAATAATATTGAAGGTCAACTCCGTCAAAGTAAGAAAAGCAGATTCAGAGTTAAAGCTAAAATGTCTAATTTCAACTTCTTATCTTGACATTGATATGCATTTTACTTAACTTGCATTATTATTATCAGATTATTATTATCATTACCTTGAACCCATTACCATCAGAATTCAGATTATTTTTATAAATGTTAAAGGCACTGAAAGTTAGAAACCAATTAATTTTCCACTTATTTAAAAAAAAAGATTTATCTCCAAATTTCTAAAGCAAATAATCCCCCAGGTGCTTCCTGCCAGTTGTGAGGGACATGCTATTTAGGGACAACACCCTGCAACAACACATTCACCTCCTCTCTTCCTGCTGGCTTCTAAATCATTACTGGAAACACTTGTTTGAAATTAAGAGCTTTGCAAAGGCAGGCTTCCTATGCCTACTGATTTATTTTCTTTATTTTAAGGCATAAATCTGTGTATGATATGGTTTACAAAGCTACGGAGATTCAGACCTTAAGTGAGAAATGTATTTTATTTTAGTTTGTTTGCTTGTTTTTTTTTTTTTCCCTTTTTTTGCCAACACCCAGACCCTGCTTTGATGTAACTGAGTCTTTGCTTAAGATGAGTTTTGAAAGTGAAGGAGCTGGATTTGGAAAGGGCCATTTTCTGTCTAGAACAACAAGGACAGTGAACAAGGAAAGTGAACAGGCAATTTAGGAAATAAAATACTTGTCAACTTCCTGAAAAGTAGGCTATAATCTTAAAAGGCAATCTGGAGTGCTATTGTGATCATTTATGAAGCAATTTAATAGTAACTTGAACCACAAGTTTTTTGGAATTTGATTTATGTCTTGGTATCTGATTTCACCTACAGTAAGTTATATCTATAAAAATTTAAATGAAAAAAAATGGGAAGATAAAATTTTCTGTGTAGGTGGAATGATTAAAGCTTTTGGAGTCAGAAGCAGATGAAATACCCCTTTGGGGACCAGATCTAGAAACAGTCAGTTCACTGTGGCAATAACGACGGCCAAAGCTTATTCCCTCCCCAGAATCACATTTGAGTTGTAGGAAATCAACTTTGTTGTTCCTAGAACTGGTATCAAGAATAAGTGCAGAGGATAGATTCGTGGTGGGTATGAAAAGAAGCAGAGAGTGAAAATGAGATGACAGAAAACTAGCATAAAGAGATAGTGAGTAGGGACGTTGGAAAAGGAGAAATTATCAACCTAGTTGTGTTTAATGTTTTTTGAACAGAACTAATTGAAGACGATATTATTACATATTAAAATGTTTCTCCAATTCTACTCTAGGGTTTCTAAAGAGTGTCAGTTCTTTGAAACCACAGACAAGGCATGAAGCCATGTGTCTGCCCCACCGCCCTGCATGTCCACGGTGATGCCATGCGGGAACTGAGGTTGTCAAGGCTGCTCCCTCAGCCAGCCTTCCAGCTAGTTCCATAGGCCCTGGCAGTGCATTAAATACTCCAGAGACATTTTTTCTGGAATAGAGATATAAATGAAAGTACAATAATATTGAAGGTCAACTCCATCATTAATTAGCAAATAAACAAGCTTATTTAATCTCATTACTAAATATGCTGCTTAAAAATTAACAGTATTTTGGGCTGGGGTTATAGCTTAGTGGTAGAATGCTTGCTTCACTCCTGTGAGGCAGTGGGTTCAATCCTCAGCATCACATAAAAATAAATAGAGATATTGTGTCCATCTACAACTAAAAAATAGTTCTTAAAAAAAAATGAACAGTATTTTAAGGAAAATTCTGTTATGTTTACAGCTTGAAAGATGGTAATTTAATTAACCCCAAAATAATAAATTAGAATGTAATTTGGAAATACCCATTATCATGTTAAGTGCACCTACCCTTTGACCCAAAGAGTTCACTGCTAGGAATTTATTCAACATATATGTTCCCATAAGCACACAGCAGCCTTAACACAGAGGTTTAGACTACACCAAATTGGAAATGACCTAAATGTCCCTGGTAGGGGATTATTCAATAATAATGCATTCATACAATGAAATATTATGAAGCTATTGAAAGGAATTAGGGAGGGCTTTAAGTTACCATAAAGGTATGCATACATGTATATCTTTATACATATAGCTATAGATATAGATAGATAGATAGATAGATACACACACACTGATCTACATATATATATGTATATCTATCTCAGTATGCATATGTATATAAAGCTCTTTGAGGGCAATTAATTAGCAAATAATTAATTTATTATTTATATACACGTATATATATGTCTATGTGTATCTATATAGCTATATGTATAAAGATGTACATGTATATATAGAGAAATGCATGTATATATATATAGATCTATATATCTGTATACAGAGAGAAAGAGATCCAAAACAACAAATTAAAAAGCAAATTTCAGAGCAGAATGTATAGTGCTATACTATTTGTGTGTGCTTAAAAAAAAAACACGATTAAAACAGAAGCTTAATTAAAACATTCTGAAAGAATTTAAAAAAAGAAATTTAGAATAGTTATCTTCGGAGACGGGTTTGGCAATTTTGTTCTGTACTTTGTACCCTTCTGAACTGACTAGATTTTAAACCGTGAGCATGTTATTGCTTTCATTCTAACTGAAAAACTAGCAAATTAAAAAAAAAAAAAAAAAGTCTTATTTACCCTGAATTTGCAAAACGGATGCTCTGCTAGGAGACAGTCGGTGGAAGCCACAGAGCCTAGCCACATTCTCCTACAAGGCCGGCTAAGGACGGCCACGTGAAGAGGTTAACCCAGGAGCCCTACAGCAAAAGGCTGATCCCAGCCGGGGGCTCTCCACACCACTCGGATCTGGTGCGCTTCCAACACCAACCGCGTCGCCTGGGTCAGTTTGTCCACGTTCCCTTGCTTCCAACGCCGTCTTACATAAGGTTCTGGGAGACCCGCGCCGCGTCCGGACGCGCCTGGGAGGAGCTGCCACGCCACCGCCCCTTTGGGCTCCCGGCTCCAGCACCGCAGCAAACAAAGAACTTCGGCTGCATCGCCCAGTGGCGCCCGGATCCCTTCCCTCTGGACAGCCAGGACGCACGTCCGAGACGCTAGAGCCAGCCCCTGCAGGAGCTCGGGTTGACCATTTCCAAGTGGAAAGAATGGAAACCATAAGTGAGATTCCTCTCCCCGCAGACTCACTTTTCCCCCCCTCACTCCGGTCTTCTGCATTCTCCCTTAACTAGTTCCTAGAAATATCTACCCGGGCTAATTCATTCTGCTCTTGTGTATGCAAAACAAGGTCAAGCCGCTTCCAGTCTCGTGCTGAGCCTCGGTTTTGTACCGCCTTTTAGTAAGCATCAAAGTTTTTGGGTTTTTTTTTTTTTTATTTGTTTGTTTTTCTCTTCTTGGGCTTCATGACACTGGCAAGTGAATGTCAAGGCTTTTGAAAAAGTTGAATTTCAAAGTCTGGAGCTTGCATACTTCTTCCAAATCTCACATGTTTACCCCTTTAAACTTGGAAATATATTTCTGAAAGCATTTCTTTTTTTAAATCGTCATTTTGCTCAACAGTATCCTGAGGCTTAACTGCACTGCCAAACAAGTAAAAACCTGCCACACAGACCGTGGTGTTAAGGAAGAGGCAAGTTAAGTGTAAAGAGAAAAAACTCGTCCTATTACCAGGTAATCTCTCTCATTTCTTCATAATATTTCTTCAAATATTTATAATACGAATGAAGGAAAGAACTGTGATTTGCTTGTCTCCACTGGGAAGCTAACTCTTCAATAAACCTGTTTCTCCTAACCTCCACTCTCCCTGCCTTTAAAAAACAGCAAGAACAGTAAACAGCCATCAAACCTCAAGGTTCAACCCAGAATAGTAGGTTACCAGAGTGGGAAATGTTATTAGATAATAAAGAGGGAAAAGTGCCTTTTTGTAATAATTTGGGGACCAGTGTTGTGTCGGTAGCAAACATTGTATTTTCCTGCAGTGGAAAAAAAAAATCCAAATCCTTGCTTATTTTTGTGGAAAAGTCCATATTAACAATCCAGTACTTTCAACTTTTTCAGCTTTGGCAGTCAGAGAGGGTGCTGTTAACAGCCCTCAAAACTGAAGTTCCTTTATTTCTTCTGCCACTTGAGAAAAAGTTTTGCCACAAAGTTCTAATAACTCTAAGTTCCTACAAATCAGCTTGGAAACGTCTAAATGTGTTTTTCCTAGAAAAAGTGCCAGACATCAATTTTATCTGGCAACCATCAAAATGCATCAGACCACAAAACTATACATTGCTGGACCTCACAAGGAGCATGGTAAGGAATCGCAGTGAGCCAACCCAAGTGCTCAGCTACACCACATCTGCAGTCTACAACGTCAACAGCTGTAATGATATACCAAAATACCAGATTTTTATAGGTGATAAATTCACATTTTCAGCTAATTCTACTGTGATCTGTTGCCTAGACTCACATTTAAAGGAAATACTAAATTTCAGTTACAGGATAGTGACAATACCTGACATTAACTGCTGCAACCAAGAACGTGCAACAGCAAAATAAAACAAAATTTTAAATTGTAAAAGTAATGGGTGGAAATCTCAAATCAACCTTCTCAGCCTCAGGTTTAAGATTACATAGCATTATTTAACTCCTCATCACACTAAACTAACTGTCATATATTGAATATATATATATATATATATATATATATATATAGAGAGAGAGAGAGAGAGAGAGAGAGAGAGACCATGAAAATGAATTTTTTTTTGTTTGCAACTATATTATTTTATGAGATAGCAAATGACATAAAACGTGGGGATTTAGGTCAAAGAACAGTTTTCCTGATTGCCAGGTTGGCAGAACTTGTGTAACTAAAGTATGCATACTGATAATTGATGTACACAGTGACCCCCAAACAGGAAGTGCCCTTGGAATCATAAGTCTAATAGTCATTTATTCAACCCCTACTGTGAGAAATACAGTAGGGATTATAGATTATAAGGCGCTGCCTGCACAGATTTTGCATTCTAGTTAGAGAAGGGAATGCCATAAAGTTCAAAAAAGTGTAGGCTGGTGGGCAGAGAGGAGGGGAGCAAGGATGGTTGCTTTTCATGACGTCTTTCCATGGTAGTTGATTTTTGAAACTGTGCTATGTGTTTTACTTACATAAAAGTTTAAGAGGTAAATAATGATAGCAATGGGAAAGAAGGAACAGATGTAATAAGCATAGGAAGAATACTGCTCCAGCCCGAAACCGGATAGGGGAAGCTGGGTACAGATGGACCTCTCCCTCTGCTTCATGTCCCTGATCTATCAATAAGTTCATTGTCTCCAGAATCTCCCACAGATTCCTCCTCATCCTCATCCTCCCCAACACTGCCTCAAGCTGCAAAGACCTCCTCACCATTAACCTTCCTCTGGTGCATGAATTCTTGACATTTGTTGACCCCTTTGGCAGTACTTCCCATCCTATGGAACTCTTCTCACAATAAGGTGCTTGGATTATAAAATAAGGTACAAAATATGAATTGTATTAAAATGTAAATATCAACTTATTTTTCAAGTTGTGACATAGTACATAGGTTTATTAATTCATCAAATAACAAGACGTACAAGATCTAATATCTATATTAAGTTCAGTAAAAGTGTAGCAGGTTATTTTGAGATATCTTCAATAGCTGTAATGATATACCAAAATACCCAATTTTTATAGGTGATAAATTCACATTTTCTGCTAATTCCACTGTGATCTGTTGCCTAGACTCATATTTAAAGGAAATACTAAATTTCAGTCACAGGATAGTGACAATGACAATATAATTCTTTTTTCCAACTTAAGCTCACAGATCCCAAGCATTCTGTCCATGGATCCCTTGCAAGTCCAGGCACCCAGTTAAGAAGCTCTGATCTAGGGTCATGTCCCTCCAGAACAACCTCCACCTTGCCACCAGATCTGATGCTGTCACTCTTACCCTCAAAGCCTTCAATGGCTCTCTCACTTCCCAGGTATAATACAAACTCTTCTGAAAGGGAGGCAAAGCCCTCCATGCTCTGTCCGCTGCCCCCCCCCCCCCCACACACACACACGCCCCCAGCTTGCCAGCCACCTCATCCTCTATGCCTCAGGTCAAAAGCTGCCTCCACTCTGATGCCTTCCTTGACTTCCCCAACCAGACCCAGGTAGTTCTCTGTGTCCATTCCTCTATGGGCATATGGTTGTCCTGGAGTATCTGAGGGGAACTGGTCACAGGACCTCCCATGGATGCCCAAGTCCTCACATGGCTCAGGTCCCTTATATAAAATACCCTATGGGCTGGGGATGTGGCTCAAGCGGTAGCGCGCTCGCCTGGCATGCGTGCGGCCCGGGTTCGATCCTCAGCACCACATACAAACAAAGATGTTGTGTCCGCCGAGAACTAAAAAATAAATATTAAAATTCTCTCTCTCTTTAAAAAAAAATAAAATAAAATACCCTAGTATTTGCATATAACTTACACACACCTTCCTGTGTGCCTTAAATCATCTTTAGATTACTTATCATACCTAACACAACATAAATGCTATGTAAATAGTTGTTATGCTTTATTGTTTAGAAATAATGACAAAGACAGGTGTGATGGCACACATAATCCCAGCAGCTGAGGCAGGAGGACTGTGAGTTCAAAACCAGCTTCAGCAACTTAGGGAAGCCCTAAACAATTTAGCAAGACTCTGTCTCTAAATAAAAAATATAAAAAAGGAGCATATATTTTTTATATAAAAATATAAAAAGGGGGATGTAGCTCACTTGTCAACTACCCCCCTGGGTTCAATTCCTGCTACAAAAAAAAAAAAAAAAAAAAAGCCCCAAAGCTAATATTGTTTATCTGTGATTGTTAGATCCATAGATTCAGAACCCACAGATACAGAGGGCTGACTACCTCCATTGTAGCCATCAAGTTATGGTATAATGGTCCTCCCTTATCTAAAGTTTCACTGATCTGCTGTCTGAAAGTATTAAATAGAAAATTTCAGAAATAACAATTCCTAAGTTTTTTTCTGGAGTGTATGTGTGTGTTGCTGATGGTCGAACAGGGCTTTCTTTTTTTTTTTTTTTTCTTCTTCTTTTTTTTTTTTTTTTGCATAGTAGGTAAGCATTCTACTATAAATTTTAAATAACTTTTATTAGTTGTTAATCTCATACTGTGACTAAAAATTAAACTTGTATCATAGGTATGTATATATAGGAAAAATAACATAGTATATATAGTGTTCAGCACAGTTTCAAGCATCCCCTGGGGGTCTTGGAATGTATCACACAAAGATAAGGGAGACAACTATCCTAAAATTGCTGGCACAGTGTCTCCTGTTACACAGAATCTCCTTCAGGTCAATTCAGTAATTTTTTTTTTTTTATTTTCTCCAGGACCCTGTCTTGTGCATGGCACCAGTAGATGTTTAGTAAATATGTGTTGAATATCTGAGTAAATAAACCAATGGATGTATAACTAAATAAATGAAAGAGATCAATATGAAGAAGGAGGTATGAATAATGCTAAGTTTCTAATCTGGGTTAATGTAGAAAACTGAAAATGAAGAATGAAGGTGTTCAATAAAGTTGTAAATTAAGTAGATTTTGTGTGTAACTTTTTTTCAAAGATAGCAACCCCCCACGAATAAAGTAGAGGATAATTGTCCATTAAAATACCACATTTATTTTATTATTATGAGTATACAGAAATTTGCTATAGAAAAAGACCCCAAACCAAGAAATAGAGCTTATTCCAAAACAGGGTTTATAAATCAGTTATCTAGAATTTAAAATACAATCTCTCTGAAAAGCAAATTAAAATTGGTGATTAGGAATCAATTTATCATGAAAGTTCATTTAATTTGTGATGTGCCTAGAAAGGTTTCATGTTTGATAGAAAACAGTACTACTCAATGCCATTGCCAATTAAGGGAAAAAACTAAATAGCAGTGAATGTGACCATCACTAATTTATTTATCTTGAATATTGACACTGGAGGAAAGACAGCTTTAACTTCAGCGGGATGAGAGAGAGCTCAGAGAGATGTTTGTGGAGATCAGAAAGAACGTCGGGTGGTTTCAGAAGCTCTTTAGTAATGTACAATTTCACTGCAAGACAGGATCTTTCCTTTGGGCTCACCAATGACTCACACAAAGGAAAGACAGTTTCTTGCAGTACTTGAAAAAACTGGAAGACAAGTAGGGTCAGAGTTAAAGAGGCTATGTGTGTCCTACACAATTTAGCTGAGGTCAAATTAGCCAAATTAGGGAAGAAAAAAGAAGGGACCAAGAATATATGGCATGGTACAAGTGGTGGGGATTTCTGTGGCTCACCAAATATTTTCTCCTCCTGGACACAAGGGAGGGTTGTGCCGCCTAACCCCCTCATAGTTGGACAGTGCCATTTTATAGTGTGCCAGCCAGTGAGCATGGGACAGTGGGACAGTGAGGGACATCTGAATGCTGGCAAGAGATCCTCTGGCTTCTTTTTCCCATCGGCTAGGCACCCCAGACCTGGAGGAGGTAGTTGCTTTATCAGCCTGTGTTCATTTTTTTTTTTCTTTTTGGTACCAGGGATTGAACTCAGGAGTGCTTAATCATGAGCCACATCCCTAGCCCTTTTTTATATTTACAAAAAGAAAACTTAGGGGCTGGGGATGTGGCTCAAGTGGTAGCGCGCTCGCCTGGCATGCGTTTGGCCCCGGTTCGATCCTCAGCACCACATACAAAGATGTTGTGTCTGCCGAAAACTAAAAAATAAATATTAAAATTCTCTCTTAAAAAAAAAAAAAAAAGAAAAGAAAACTTAGGACCTCACTAAATTGCCAAGGCTGGCTTTGGACTCATGATCCTCCTGTCTCAGCCTCCTAAACTGCTGGGATTACAGAATTACAGGTGTGTGCCACAGTGCCCAGCCATCTGTCATTCTTGAGTGACAGATGTGAGTCATGCTGGTAACATATGAGAGACATGTAATAGATATAAGAACCTTAGTTATTTTAAGATACAAACCTTTGTTGCTTTAAGTCATCAAGTATTAGGGGATATTTGTTCTGCAGCATAATCCAACCTATTCTGACTGACACAAATTTATAAAGTTTACCTCCAAAGAAGAGAAGGGTGTGGCAGGGAAGACATTGATGGCTTTGGTTACACAGGTTAAAGTTGAAAAGGAAATGAGATGGGAGGAAAAGACACAAATTCGGCTGTAAGAGAGTCATCCAAACTGAATATTTGACCTTTGGGCAGATCTTGTATTATTTCTGAAATCAAAGTCCTCATACTGTCATAATTAGAAATTTGGCAGACAGAATCTAAGCCTCTTAATATTAGCCATGTGACTAAATACTAACTACATATGACTAGTGTACAATATTGGGGTACACGCTGACTGTAGGCCTCAGAGCTTAAAATCATTTGTAAGCTTACTGAGAAAATGGACAGAAGAGTAAATAAAACCATGGGTTTTGGAGTCACACTGGCTTGACTTCAAACCTCAGCTCACCCTTTAAAATCATGAATAGTTCTCACCTAGCCCTCTCGTAGTTGGACAGTGCCATTTTATAATGTGCCAGCCAGTGAGCAGGGGACAGTGGGACAGTGAGGGACATCTGAATGATCTAGGGTCATGTCCCTCCAGAGCAACCTCCACCTTCAATCTCCTTATCTCCAAAGTGGAGACTTCAGTGATTTATTGGGAACATTCAATGAGGTCCTGTGTGGAAAGTGTCAAGTGCAGTGCCTGACATTACCTCGTGTCCTAGCTTCTGCCAGTCCTGTGGAAGCCAGAGTTGATCTGTTGTAGGATGGCTGCCTCATTGTCATGGCCTAGAACCTAATGGATGCTGTGGCCTACCCAACACAGCTTCAAACCAGGTCTTTGGGGAGCTTTTAGCAAACCAGCTCTTGGGGGAGCCTTTAGCCATGAATAGGCTCAACAATGTACCTATGACATTCTGCACACCTCCCCTCTCTTCCTTGGCTGTTGCATTGTTAGTCCATCTTCTATTTCAGTTACAGAATATCTAAGCATAGGTTATTTATAAAGAAAGGTCTCAGTATCTGCTCAGCTTCTGGTGAAGTCCTCATGGCAAAAGGGGGAAGTGAGTGTGTGGTGGGAGAGAGATCACATGGCAAGAGAGGAAGCAAGAGAAAGCCAAGGACCTGCAGGACCTGGGGACACATGTCTGTAGTCCCAGCTACTCGGGAGGCTGAGGTGGGAGGATCATCAGTTGAGCTAGGAGTTCTAGATCCACCTGGGCAACCTAAAACACCAGTTAGATTCTGGAAAGTCCAAATACAAATGATGACTAGATTGAGGCAGGATCGTTCGTGCTCCAAGATACTTTTAACTTCACCAAAGCACGTAGGAATTTCCTTAGTACATTTCAAAGTTTTTGTTTTCTTGACTTTTTAAAGTTAATTGCTTGACAGATGAAAATGAAGCTCAATAGTATCCCCGTCCTTTGAAGATCAATCAGAAATTAGAATAATCTATGCAGATGGAAAAAATAACTTGCAAAAAAAACATATCCTTTGCCGAAATCTATATTGACCAGGTTGCAGAAAGCAAAGAAAGCCCTTCAGGTCCCTTTCTGATGAAAATTAATCCAAAGAGTGGTTATGAAAATGGCCAACACACATTAGATTCCTGTTTTTCCATTGCAACCAAGATCTAAAAACCCAAGTCCAAATTTTGCTTACAGGGTGGTACACAAAGGCCCACAGCCAGGAGGAAACACGAATTTTTTTTTTCTAACCAGGATAACAAAAAAGAATCAGCTGATTCTGGCTGTGAAACAGTCCAGAGTTAAGGAAGGAGTTATTATTTTTTTTCAAAATAAATGAAAACTTGTCATGGCAAGGAGGTCAAATCCTTCCTATAATGTAAGTCAAAACCAAGACTTCACAGAAATGTGGAACTTGGTCTCCTCCGCCTACTCCTTCCCTAATGTGCTTTCATATCTGGGCAGATGAGGTTATCTCCCTGGAAGAGATCAAAAAGCAGGAAGGCTCCAAGCTCTTCTTCTTACAGAGAGATTCAATGTTTGGCCTAAGGTCAAACAACCAGAAACGGACCCTGCATTTTCCAATTCCTAGGTTTAGGATTGTGCCCACTGTGGCACCATTTCCTGGTTTCCTGAGCATGGAATCTGTGCCAGTTACCTCAAACTGCCCAGAGTGGGAGCCAGTCTTCAAAAGGAAGCATTCATCTGTGAGACCCACAGCCCCAAACTCCAGGACAAATCTGAGCCTTCAGACAAGGGAGTCAGCACCTGCATGGCCTTCCCTACTCTCTACACAAGCACCCTGCCCTCCCTTCCCACGGGCTTCACACCTAGCCAGTCTCCTTAGCTCGGCCCATGCTTGGTCCCAAGCCAAGGGGCTTCCAGAGCAATGACAAAAAAACACACACCTAGTTCTCGTTTACAAAGCTTTCTAGCAGATCCCTATTGCCCCAGGATAAATTCCAAGATTTTCAGCAGATTCTGTAAGATCTGCCCCAACTCACTAGACAGCCTTTCCACAAGCCTCACCTCTACCTTCTTCTTCAGCCTTACAGACAAAAAAATCTTTCTTACTGAATGGGTCTGAAGACTCCTTTCTGCTCCTTCACATTCAGACACAAGTTCCCTTCCTCTGAAGCCTTCTCTTCTCTAACTCCTCAAGACAAGTCAATGGCACCATGTCTACAAGGTAATTATTATTGCTATTATCACTGTCTTCTGCAATTTATTATTCTTATATCTCCTACACAACATGATATCCTGAAATGCAGAAGCTGGGTTTCAATCATGAGTATCTTACTTACTGGCATAATATTTTATATCTCCAAGCTTCAGTTTTATTTTCAAAAAGTGAGGGTAATAAATACCTCACTAGGTTATTTTGAGGATTCAATGGCATGGTTATTCAAAGTATGGGCTATATCAAGTTGTTTTTTTTTTTTTAAATATTTATTTTATTTTTTTTAGTTTTCAGTGGACACAACATCTTTGTTTGTATGTGGTGCTGAGGATCCAACCCGGGCCGCACGCATGCCAGGCGAGCGTGCTACCGCTTGAGCCACATCCCCAGCCCTCAAGTTGTTTAATAAATGTAAGTCGCTCTCCTCTCCATCTCTTCCCATAGGGTATAAGAGCTCCCTTAACATAAGAGTATACTTCTTTTGTTTTGTTTTGTTTTTACTTGTAGATACACACAGTACATTTATTTTGCTTATTTAGGTTTTTTTTTTTTTTTTTTTTTTAATGTGATGCTGGGGATCAAACCCAATGCCTCACAAATGCTAGGCAAGAGTTCTACCCCTGAACCACAACCCCAGCCCAAGAGTACTCTTCTTTGTATTCCTTTTGAGTTATATAGTAGGCATCCAATGTTGCCAGAAAAGAGAAAAAGGGAGGGAGAAAAGCAGATGAGAAGGAAGGGAGGGAGGAAAGGAGAAAGGAAAGGAATGGAATGAACAAATACAGCTAAAAGAAAGACCCTGATCCCCATTAGAGGTAGGAGTTGGTGTGATCACTAGTCGTATGACTTTGAGAACATCCAGTTCTTCCCTAGTGAGAAACCTTGAAAAGGTATCTGCTGATAACCACTGAGTAACTAGGAAAGGACAACTGAATCAAGATGGCCTGGTCCACCAGTCGAAGGTAATATAGCCCAACACAAGACAAGCACAATTTTTAAAAAATATTATTCTTCAAATTGTGCATTCCTAGTCTATTCTAAGCACTAGGCTTGGTACAAAGGAGGACGCAGATAAATTGATCTTATGCTAGCCGGGTCTCAATAACTGAAGAGAACATAATGCCTACACTAGTGCTACGTGGCCAAACCAAATCTAGGAAAAACAGGAAGTCTTAATAACTTGCAGCACTTGCCAATTTCTGAGATGTAAACGTTTGCACCATAACTGATTGGATTTTACCAATAATTTCTCCATAAGTATTCAGCTCACAAAATCTCGAAGTATTTAGAGATTGGCTCTAGGGAGCCCCTCGGGACATTCAAGGAAGTGCCATTCCCTTATTCTTGTCAGACTTGACATCTTTTTAGTCACTTTCTTTCTTATTAATATCTTTATCATGTGAAGGACAAGGAAAATAGAGAGAACAGGGAAGCAGGTGATATTCCTGACAGTGATTTAGCAAAAGAGACTAGGGAGGAAGTTGAAAATAATGGACTAGATTTGTATTGGTTTCAGTTAACTCACTCTCTCAATCTCTTAGTACTACAGATAATTGAGAACAGATAACCTAATCAAATTTGCAAAGTACAAGCACACTTTCTGACCGAATACAGGATTAATGGTCATTACTCCGAAGGATACAGAAAGAAGCTGTGCTCAAGAACCCAAAAAGAGTCAAGTTCACCAAGATGGCAGAAAGAATGTTAAACTGGGAAATCAAACAACTTCTCTGGGTAGATGCAACATGGAAAATATTTTCCTGAATGTTTAAGATCAGTGCATCATTCTGGACTGCAACTAAATAAGAAAAGGGATACCAAACCAACAGAAAGGAAAGACCATTTAGCAAAAGAAAAATAAAAATTTATCTTAAAACTGCTAGAAACTGGGACAATCTGGGAAATTTTATTAAGTTTTATGATGGTTTAACTAGCAAAAAAAAAAAGTCTCCACCATAGCAAAGTGCTCCTATGCTTAGAAGGCGGCAGCTGGGGATATTTCCTTTGCTCTCAGAGACTCTGGCTTGACTCTCTCTTCTTTCTGCATCTAATGGTGGCAATGCCACAGGAGTACAGTAATCCATCAAAACATGTTCTCTCCTCTAGGGCAAGTCAGTTTCCATAAGTAAAGAATGGAGTTCAAAGTCAGAGTTGTCTACAAAAGCAGTTTTATTTTTATGGCTCACTAAATGTTTATTGAAGTGAGCCCCATTCTCTGTGACAATGCTTGGCTGATCAAGGCTCCCTGGATCCAAGCAGGGGAAGGGTTAGGAGGGCTCATCCCACTTTGTTGCATGAGTTTAGCTGACCTACTCTCCAACCATTTGCGATGACAGGACTTGGAGGCTACCTACTCAAGCAACAGCTGTCATTATTTGTTATACAATGTGAAATGACAAACTCAAGCCACTTAGAGGAGAAATGGGAAAAAAATTAAAAATATGCAAAGCTGTGAATACAAGGAAAGCATGCATGTCTCAAAGTGAAACAGCTAGTGCAGTGTCATTTCTATGTATAGACAAGCAGAAAATGAAGGAATGGAGAGCCATGTTCCTTTCAAACAAAGCACAACAGTGAAAAAGAAGATTCTGATACTTTAAATAACAAAAAATAAAAGCACGCAAAGTGTGCCATTTGGGGCTGGCTACTTGTTTCAAGACCTGAGGGGAACCAAAGGGGTTAGAGGGGGACAGATTTAATCTTAAGGTCTTTAAATCAGTCAATTACTCACCTCAAGTAGAATGTAATTACCCCCTTTCACTGGTGCACAATACGGCTGTGTCTGATGAGCTAAGAGCAACTTATTTAAAAATGAGAAAAACAGGCATGAACTAACTATGCCGTTATGCCCGAGAGTCAGCAAAGGCAAGACCAGGTTCCACTGGTGAGGACATAAGGGTGGGCAGTCACCAGGGTATCCACAGCTGTGTGTGAGTCACATCTGGCTGAGGCAGATATGAGATCGTCATACAGCGTGGAAGGGAGATTTGGGATTTTAAAACAGCAAACAATTGGAAACCTTGAGGAATTAAAATTAATGCAAAACTAATGTGGATTAAGGCATCATGAAACCTAGAAGAGAGGCTGATTCTTCAAAGTGGGGCAAAAGGAGCCAAGAACTCCAAGTATTCCATCATGGTATTCCAATGGCATGGTTTCTGAATGTCAGAGGGAGAAAAATATGATGTGAAGAGAACTGGAGCCAAAAAGAGTATTGACAATTTTAACAGAGGGTGGAATTGTGCCGTATTTACAAACACTAAACGTAAGAGGCAAAGATCTGTTTGAATACCGACTCTGTGGTTACTGGCTGGGTTGTGTGTGTGTGTACAAGTGTGCAAGCCCTTCTCTTAAGGTCTCTGGGTCTGAAAGTCTTCTTTGGTAAAATAAAGGACTTAACTACAATCTGAATAGTGGTTTAAAGCTTTAAAATTCTAGGAAATTAAAACTTGGGAGAGGAGAATACAGGCCTCTTAGGAAATGAAAGGCCTAGAGTAACATTCTTTTGCTGGAAAGGGGAGATAGTGACTTCAACCCAGCTGTTAGACCCATAGCCACTCAGCCCCCACCTGCCCTGCACCTAAACCCACAACCCAGAAGGACACGGTTTGGTCTCAGAACATTCCATCCCTTGGATTATTTGATGACGTCTCTGTCTCCTACCATCCTGACAAGGTACAGCTTTCTAAAAGTAGAGAAAATCCTTTCCAAGAAAACAAACACTCAAAGAACCGTTCCATTCTGTTACCTATTTGGATTACATAATGACTATGAGGTTGAAACTTTCATACTGACACACCAAAAAGAACTCTGGGCTCATGGAAGCCAAACTGTCTTTTTTCTCCACCAAAGTTCTGAAAACATCTTCATGTTCCTAAAAAGCTATTTGCCAGTGCCCACTGGAATGGCAACAAAAAACTGCCTCATCTCTGCTTGGAACAGAAACTCAGTTCAGAAGTTTTAACTCTGTGGGGATATAAATCCTATATATGATATTCTTCAACAAAAATAATAATAGTAACAATTATCTTTACCAATGCCACACTGTCCTCTATAGAAAGAGAATACTGAATATTTTTGTAGGCTGTGTTAAGGTTAATTTAGACAAGTTTACATTTTATGTTTTTTTTTTTTGTCCCACTGCATATAAAATAGGGCTATTGATAATTGGTAACTGGCATCAGAGCAGCCATCAAGTAAAAACGTAAACCCCTTCCCCATCCACCCCTCATGCCAGTTATTATGGGCTTTCCCTCCAGGAGAGTTCAGGGGAAAAAAACCACCTACTCATGTTGACTAGAATCCCAAAGAGCCCACGCTAATTAAGGTATCCATACTCTTCCAACTGAGGCAGGAATAAAAAGGCCAGGTTCCTTTTATAGCCTGCTAACTTGTTCATCTGGATCGGTGGAGAAATATTTACCTCCTATAATCACTGTACTTTGCTCATTCAATCCTTGTGAAGATGAAAGGAGATAATGCACGTAAAGTGCCAAGAACCGGGTGCACAAGGAACTTAATAAACAAATGAGCCTAGAAATTGTAAAAACAAAACAAAAAAAAAGAGTGTCTCTTGACACTTATCAGCTTACTTGAAATAGGAAGGATTAAAGCATAACGCAATCAGTTCCACAGCATACTCTAGAGAAATCTAGGTTGCCCTCTAACTTTAAGTCACGTCACTTGCCAGCAATAATGCAGAATTTTCACAACTCCACAGTACTCAGGCCCTGCTACTGCCTCCTCACTCCCAGTAACTGAGAAGTGGTAGAGTTTTAAACAATCAGAACAGAAACGCCAAGAAACGCCAAGAAAGACCTTTAAAGAAATTCCTCAAAGCCCTTTGGCACTGATCATGTGGAAGTTTTGCCAGAAGTCAAATATCCAACACTAGACAAACTTTGCCAGAGTGTATGTGTGCTGGGGGAGGGAGAGAGGATGTGAAAAAAAGCACAGAATCTAAAGATCCGAATGAAAACGATACATCCCATAATAAGACCAGACCCTAAAAGTCCAGCTCGGCTCTTTAGATATGCATAGTATGTTTTCCTTCCAGGCATAAAACTGTTTTGTGATTTTAAAGATCTTCATAAAAATAAGGTAAGATATGCAATAAGCAAGTTCTACTATAATTTGTAACTGAATTTTCTGTTCATTCGGGGTACACATGTGACATACCAGGTTGACTTTTCTAATGCCCACACCCTAGTATGTAACTATGCAGGCAACATTTAAAAGATGGCAAGTGAATAATATCTGCACTCCAGAAAAGATGATACCTTTGCAACAGTCTCGAGACTGTGTAGCAAAAACATAAAGTGGCCACAAAAGTTTTGATTTTTATTTAGTGTTAGCCTACTCAATTTGTAAAAAACCCGGCCATAAGACAATTTTGGAAGCATTCGAACCAGGTTTTGGAAAAAAGGCATCAGTACGAGGCTGCTTAGCAATTCTAAACCATGCTTTCCATAATATAAAGGGCGGATGAAGCCCTTAACTTCAGAGAAGGGGAGGTTACATTCTACCCCTTGCTGAGTACTTGGCTTATTTCACTTGATAAAAAGTTTTTATGACAACCCCTGTTAATTACCACAAAAGTTATACATTCTCTGCAACTCAAAGGAAAAAGTGCAACTGGCAAAAGTCAGTTTTTTCTTTATTTAATACATTCTAATCAAATAGTAACAGCAGTAAATAAACACTTTGAAAAACAGGCAGGTATCCCCCTATATCTGGAAGAAAATTAAGTCAAGGTATTCTACACAGTAGAAGGGAGACAACTGCTGATGTCCGTGGTTAGACAATTCAAGGACTGGGAAATTTCTAAAGCCATTTCCAAAAAAATCAATGGCAACAGTTTGGGGCACATCTACTTCAAAGGGTAAAATGTCTATATCTACACTAGTTTTTATTAACAGAGATTGAGTTGCACCTGTAGAGCATGACATTCTTGTCTTTAGCCTTAAAGGAAAAGATAAAGTCTTTTCCATTTGCACCAGTTTGAAATATTTCTGAAATAAGGCTCCCTTGAAATGGGTTACTACAATACTCATTCACAGGAGAGTTCATACCTGTAGTAAAAAGACAAATACAGGATCTCATGGTCACTTTTTTTTTTTTGGTTGATTTGGTTAATTGCATAAAATGAGGGATAAATACTCACAAGCATGATGTGTTCGACAAAACTACGTACATCAGAATGCAACATATAAAATGTCCTTAAAGATACTGATCATCAGGCATATAAACTCAAGGTAAGCCTGCATCAGCTTGGTTCCTTTTGCTTCTTCAGTACTCCACTGGAGCTCTTTGTTACTGGCGCTTGGAGCTTGGACCTAACGCAAAGGAACTTCAGAAAGACAAGGCATTCTGATAAAATGCTCCCTCAGCCTTTTCTTGGGGCATTTTATTTCTTAGTTAAAAGGATCAACTGATCTTGGTCAGCCTTAGGAAAGGAAGCATCACTCAGGTGAAAAGATCTAGGGGAATTTTAAATACCTAGCTACCTCTTTACACATTTAAATTAGGTTGACTTCAGCTGTTTTTAGAATTCTGTGCAGTTATCCAGTCGCTCAAGTTTTGGTGTTGTCTTACATAGCTGCATTTGGAGATACTCTATATGATGATGTTTAGAAAAACAGAAACACTTATACCTGGAATTTATATTCTTCCAAGTAATCTTTTAGTCTTGTTGGTAAAGGCAGTCCCCAGACGGTACCGGTACATTTGTTAATGGTGAGTCGACAGAGATGCTGAAGAGATGGTGCAGATGTGTAGAGCGGTTTGGTCAGATAGAGGTGAACAGTCCCATTCCGGGGGGCTTCTGGGCCCGACCGCTTATCCTTGCACATCTGAACATAGTAGTCAATCAGATGAACCACACTGTCAAATTGCTTAAGCTTGGACTTGACACATATGATAGAATCCAATCTGAATTTCCCATCTTGGTACTCAATTCGCAGATTAGTTGGTCCAGCTGACGTTTTAACAGATATTGTTAGTAGGTAGTCTGAATGCGAACTATCTCTAATCAAGAAAGTTCCTTCTGGCGCCTCTTTTAATTTCTCTTTGGCTTCATTAACAGTCATACTTCCCCAGTACCATCCTGGGGTTTTTGTTCAAAAAGAAAAAGAAAAGAGGGTAAAATAGTTATTATAAGAATTTTTAGAATAGGGGACGTACTTGCCAGTAATTTTTCTAGCTCTAAAAAAAAAAAAAAAAAAAATACGTGTGAGTGGAAGTTTACCAGGGGCTACCACAAATACCTTTGGTAGGAATTTAATGAAAATGTGAGTCCGTTTTATTTTATGAACACAAACTGTGAGCCAGTGTTATTTCTTTTCAAAATAACTTTCTGTAGTTGTCCTTTAAACTATGTTAAGATTTTCTTCTAATAAGCCAAAAAAAATTTGCAGTATGACTCACTGGCTGACAGAGCATGATGAGTTGATTACTGTTTCATTGAAACAAAGATTAGAAATAAATTAGATATTAGCTATAAAAGCCATATTTTTAAAAAGTGGAAAACCCAACTCCAGTAATTCCAATAGACTAAAATCAGAAGCAAGTTTTTTGAATGGTTGGTGCCACCCCTATACTCTCCCCCAAAGAATCTCCTAAATGGCTGCGCCCCTTGTTCAAAGCCCTCAAAAGCACTACTATTTACTTATTTTAAAAGTACAGCTATCCTGCAATAGCTTTTGCTTGCTGCTCTGATTACAACTATCTCATCAGTCATTGAGAAATGGGAAGTCCCAATTGATACTTCAGGTTTATAATCTTCTCTAAACTCTTGTGGACTTTGCCCTGATTCAAATTCAGTCACAACCGTTGGTCTCCTCCGCATTCTCCATTTGATCTGTTTCGGCCATCTCCCCGGCCCATCCCATTTTCAAAAATGACTCAAAGACATTTTGCATTTAAGAAGTTTGAACAATGTGCTTCCCCCGCCCCCGTCAAAAAATATTATTATTTTTTAAACCAGGATACTTGTAATCGGCGGGTCTCTCCGGCCAAGGGAAAGCCCATGACCCGTAGGGAAAGACCGGAACACGAAGGGAGGGAATTTTTCCCTCTGTCCCCCGCCCCTGGCCTATTGCTATCCAAAACTTAAACTGTGCCTCAAACGTAAGATTTTAGGATCCAGATTTTAAAAGCCTGAATAACTTGCACATATTTTTTAAAAATGTCTTGTAGATGCTGGAGAAACGACAGTAAGCCACGCTGCACGGGACTGCCCTTAAAACAAGCCATTCCCTGGTGCGCTGCTCCTGGAGGCCAAGCTCCCGGGCAACTGCCCTCACCGCAGCTTGTCAGTCCCCGAACTTGGTCTCCAAAATCCTGGGCTGCAGTGGCGGCCCCGCCTGGGAGCCAGACGCAGCTGGGGCTGCAAGAGCGCAGCAACCACTCGCCTTGCACCCTGAGGAAAGGGAGGCACCGGGCGCTTTCTCTGGCCTGGGTTCGAGTCTGCGCGCCCACCCCTGAGCTGCTGCGGAAAATAGTGTAGGTTTCAGAGCTCGAAGAGGCTATTTCCAAGAAGCCCTGCTCGCGCTCTGCCCTTCCCCAAGCCTTTAGTTGCTCCAGAACCAGTCTCCTTTCACATTTCCAAGGACCCGAAGCCACGAGGGCGGGCATCCCTCTCCGAGGTCCCCAGTCCTGGAGCAGGGACTGGAAGCGAGAAACATGTTTCCAACCCATTCTTTGCTTCCCACCTCGTCCGCACTTCCCGGCAGCGCCTCCCGCCCGCGCAGCCCGCAGCAGCAAATTTGGGGAGGCGCCCCCTCCCAGCCTCGTAGTGGCCAGTCCGCTCCCTACCTGTTTGACCCAGCTCACGCAGGGCCTTCGCCAGGCGTGCTGCCTCGGGGGCTGGTTCCTCGGCTGACCCAGCGGTCCCCCACTGGCTCCGCGTCCCATCCGCGCCATTCCCGGAGGGCTCGAGGCACCGCAGGGTCATGGAAGAAGGGTCAGCACGGCAAAGACAGGTGGCCGCCTGAGCTGGAGTCACAGAGGGGCTCGCGTCCTTCCTGGAAGTCAGAGGGAACTCCAAAACGCGTCCCTGCGGGGTGTCCGAAATGGTGGCGGAGGGGGAGGGGTTGGGGAGCTGCTGGTTCTTTCTCCCCAAGTCCCAGAGGAGGGATGGTAAAATCTCCCGCAGACGCGGTTACCCACAGATCGCCTGTGAAGAGAAAGTGGGGCGGGAGTTGGGTCAGTCTGAACTGGACCCCTGTGGCTGGGGTGGGGGTGGGGAAACAGAGACGTGGAAAATCCCGGGGACTCCGCCGCCTCTAAGCTCCTGCACTGTTTAACCCCAAGCATCCAGTTACCGCCCTGGCCCAGCTCAGGAGAAAAGATGGATAAAGAGAGCAAGGATCCAAGACCGAGTTGGCTGAGGAAAAGGGGGGTGGGGAGACGGGATAAGGATGAACCAGGAGTCTTCCCGCCCAGAGCTGCTTGCTGAAATCACAAATTGGCAGTCTAAGAAAAGCAAAGAGTCACCTGCGGGACGAGTGGGGACAGGCTCTTGTCAAGGACAAGTAGAAATTTTTAAAAAGGAAAGAGCAGGATCGTTCCCCAAAATGGCATTTCCATCTTACACCTCGCGCAGTCTGAGGGCCCCTGGGAGGAAGCACCCAGCAAAAGCTGGTTCCACGCCCTAAAGCGCCAAGGGGCTCCCGGGGCCCGAGACGCCAGCCGGGGGTGTGGAGGTGCACTAGCGGCCGCATCCCAGCCTGGAGGCTGCCTCGCTCCCTTCCACCAGCTCCCTAGTAGGCGCTCGGGACAGGAGTGAGGGACAGCCCGTGGCGGTCGCTCCGGGACAGAGACGGCTGCTGCTGCTGTAGCCGCCCAGAGCGCTGTCGAGGAATCGGCCGGAGCGCGCAGCCCCGGCAGGAGCTCCGAGCGCGGCAGCCACAGAGCCCGCAACAGCGAGCGCGGCGGGACTTGCTAACAACCAACGCCGAGCCCTTACCTCGGCCACGGCTGCCGCCGCCGCCTCCGCACCAGGCAGCCTCCCCAGCGGACATGGGGCGGGGGAGCCGGGAGGGGCCCGGGAGAGGAGGGGTGTCCGCCTGAGTTTCCCCTGTTGACGTTTAATTTGGGAACGAGATGCCTGGGGATGAGACCGGCTCTGCGGAGGCGGCTGGACTTCTCTGTGCAGAGGGCAGACAAAAATCCTAGGGATCATCACCTCGATCCCCGACCCCACTCCCCAGGCTTCGACACCCTCTGCCCCCGTGCAGCTACCGATGTTCCCTTCAGCAGCGACCAAGGAACGGGGAAGGAGAAAGGGAGGGAGGAAGGAGCAAGGGCGGAGGCAGGCTGAAGGGGAGGAGAGGGCGATCAGGTTATTAGGAGGATTAGACATTTGAATAGCAGTTTAGGGGGGTAAACAAAATAAAATAAAACTCTGGAGACTCCCCGACACCGGGAAGGTACCGGAGAGAGCTGGCACTAGCCACAGGCTGCGGGAGCCGCTGCTCGAACTCTCTATAAGCGCCCTAAACTGCGGAAGCCAACGCCGCCGGTCGCTCCCCGCGCACGCGGCCGCGCCCCGCCGCCCGCCCCAGCCACTCTCCGCGGGGCGGAGCTCCCCACACCGGTACCTGTCGCGAGCGCCCGTGCTCCGTACTCCAAGGATCCTGAGGCTGTGCGCCCCGGGCCCCGGCGCGTACTGTCCGCGGCCCGCGCAGCGCTGGTGGCTGCGGGCGAAGAGGCTCATGCTTCAAGGGAAACTCAGGCCCACGAGCCGCGGCGGCGGCGAGACTTGGCAAGAGTTAAACGTCTGTCCCCAGAGCAGTGTGTGCGCGCGACTTCCCAGTCCGACGCGCCTCCCTACCTCCCCGCCTGCCCCCCCCCCTTCCGCGCTCCGCTCGAGCCCCGCCCGGCGGCTGCGGAGGCCGCTTTCCAGGAACTTTCCAGGAATCCGGCTCATGTGACCACAGCCCCCGCTACCGCTTTAAAGAGGCTCGGCCCTAATGCGCAGGCTTCACGGGAGAATCGCTGAGAGCGCGCGGGTGCGGACAGCGGCGGTACGGATGCCTGAGACTCCGCCCTCCAGTGACCCCACACCTCGGGGTCCTTGGGGGGCCAGCGGGAGAAGTTCCCGGCCATCGCCAGCCCAGTTTTGGCGGCCAGAGCATACCCCCACCCGCGTCAGCTGGGCACCCTGATCCAGCGAATAGTAGTCGTTCTCGCCCCTCTGCGGGGAGGGGGTTCCTCTTTTCCACCCTCTTGGCACCTCCTTGACTTTACCCTCCAAGCCACGCTTTGTTGGGGCGGCACGCGGGGGGTGGGGGGGGACGGGGAACTGGAGAGGATGGGTGGGTTCCTCGGAAACTGGCCACTCGCCCTCTACGACATACTGATTAGGTGGGGGCAGGCTACTGCCCACCCCCGGGGACCGAAGGGATCTAGCTGGAGGCAGCCCCCCAACCCCACACCCCAAGTCCCAGAAGGCTGCCAACAGGCAGAGTAAGGCGCCTCCTTAAGGCGCGCGGGCTGCTCTCAGTCCCCACCCACTGGCTCTTAGGCTCGCAGTCTCCCGCACCAACCCTACAGGGCTCCTCCCTTCCTCCTCTGCTCTTCTCCGTCGCCTCTTTCCGGAGGCCCAATGGCCCTCCCGGCTCACCTGCCCTGGCTGCTGAAGAGGCTCCCTTACCTGCGCTCCGGGAAAGTGCCGGGTGACGGGCCTTCTGTGCCCAACTATTGATGGTTGCTGTGATTTTTTTGAAGGGCGGGTGCCCGGGGACGAGAATTTAGGAAGTATCCCGGCACTACCTCCCCACTCGGGACCCTTACTTCCCATCCTGTTGGAGACCACCTGGCCTTAATGGAACTCATTTCCCTGCCTGCACCCCCACCTCCGAAATGTGACCTACTTTAAATATGAGCTACTTCTTAAAAACCATTAAGACTCACTGCAAAAACCGGATCCAAATTTTCGATAACCATTTTTTCTTTGAAATACTATTCTATTGCATCACTGCTCAAAAGCTTGAAAGGTCAATGGCCATTTTTAGTTGAAGCGGTGGCTATGGGGAAGTTGGGCGAGGAAGGCAGAGATGGTGTGGGGGAGGCGCAGCTTGCAAACCTTGCCGGGTGCCCCCCCTGCCGGCTCTGAGAGGAAGAGTGAACCAGCTCCCAGCCTTTGGATAGGGAGTCAGGGACCAATGTTTTTCCTCAATATTTTTTCTGCTTTTTAGAAAACTCTATGCACATGATATGCACGTGAGTTCTGGGAGGGGGGCATTTTTTAGCTAACCAACGGGTTTGTAAACAATGGAGTGGTATGCATGGAGCCATGTTTTGTTTTTAATATTTGGTGGAGAAGGTGAAGCTAATTGAGCCCTACTTAAAACCCTCTACAAAGTAGGTGAATAATCCTACACAAATCATTTTCCCTCTCTGTACCAAAATAAACTTCCAGAATCACTGCATCTACTAGGATTCACCTAATTCTAAAGTATTTTAGATGATTTCTCCTTCCTTGGTACAGGATCCCGAAGGAAGAATGTGCCTACATATTTGTAGTGTTAAGTTAAAAGCTAGTCCAAAATTTTTTACAAAGATAAAACATTTAATTCCATTTAATTGTCATTTGTAATGAATCTTCCAGCTGTGGGAACACCACGCTTTGTAGCAAAACAGGATTTTTTAAAATTTTTGCTTCTAAAATGTTTCTCAGCGATGCCCAGCATTTTATTGGCCTTTCCAGACCTCTAGAAATACATATGGGAGCCGTGTAGGAAAATGTTTATGGGATCATGCAAGTGAAAAAAAGTAGAACATGAAATTGTGTCTTTGTTATGATTACAACACTATGCAATTGTGTACACATATGGGCAAAACCAAAGGGAATGTGGAGAAATGAAAGCAGCTGTTTTTAGGGTGGCAGGATCTGGATGAATTTTTACATTTGACTTTCTTTAATATGCTTACAGTTTTGTTTGTTTGGGGTACCAGGGATTGATCTCAGGGGCACCTAACCACTGAGCCACATCCCCAGCCCTATTTTGTATATTATTTAGAGACAGGGTCTCACTGAGTTGCTTAGTGCCTCACTTTTGCTGAGGCTGGGCTTTGAACTCACAATCCTCTAGCTTCAGCCTCCTGAGCCACAGGGATTACAGGTGTGAGCCACCACACCTGACTGCTTCCATTATTTTTGATAGTCATCATTTTTCCAAAATCCCATGTGAGACAATATCTTCAGTTACTCTAACTGAGTGGAGTGGAATGGAGTTTGTGGGACTTAGAACTCATCTCAAAGGACCCTTCTTTTTTTAGTAGTAGATGGACATAATACCTTTATTTTATTTATTTTTTACGTGGCACTGAGGATCAAACCCAGTGCCTCACACATGCTAGGTGACTGCTCTACCACTGAGCCACAACCCCAGCCCCTCAAAGGACCTTTCTCTTGAGCCTCAAGTTTGCCCTTCAGTATCACCTTTCAGATGTCTAATAGGCATCTCTAATTTCATAGAGGTCCTTTTCCGACATTTTCTTACATCTCTAATTTCAAAGTTGAGACCTCATGACTCCCTCAAAAAAGTAAATAAATAAATAAATAAATAAATAAATAAAAACAAAGACAAGCCGTTCTTCCTACACTTTTCCCCATTTCTGAAAACATCAGTTTCACTCTTCAGTTGTTCAGGTCAAAAGCCTTAGAGTCATCATAGACTACTCTTTCTCACACATCCCACATCCCACCCATTGGCCAATCCTTCCACTCTTATTTCACAATAAATCCAGAATTGAAGTGCTTGCCACGTGTCCACAGCACACCAGTTCAAGCCACCCATTAACCTCTGCTCAGGTAACTGCAACAGTCTCTTGAAAAGCCTCCCGATCCCTCCAAAGTCTCTTTCTAACAGAGTAGTTACAGTGAGTCTGTTTAAACTAGGTCATTTCACATCCCTTTCCTGGTCCAACCCAAATAGCTGCATCACATCTGAAGGGGATCAGGGAAGCCAATAAGCACTGTATAGCTTCTTGTCACTGTGATAAAATGCCTGAGATAAACAACCGGTTAAGAGGAAAGATAGATTTTGACTCACAATTTGAGAGGTTTCAGCCTATGGTCACTTTGAGACTGTGACAAGGCAGGACCACATGACAAAGCAAAGCTGCTCACCTCAGAGTGATTCCATTTGGTCTTAGATTTTCAGGAACATATCTGTCCTGTTGGGTGGGGCGTGTTCACAGTTGCAGAAATAAGCTGCCACTCTACATGAGGAGGAAAGGGAGGGCAGCTGTCACAAAGCTGAAGAGTGTTTTCTATTGCCTACACTAAAGACTAGCCAAGGCTTGAAAGCCTCCTTGGTGTGCCAAACCAGAACCAGACACATTTGGTTTTGCAATGTCAGATGGATACTGGAATTGGCAAGGGCTCCACACTGAACTCCTGCTGAGTTTCACAGAAGGTATTTTGTTTTGGAGGGAGTGAACAGCATGAGGTGAGGGTGCAATAGCATGATCTCTGACAACTATATCTGATGCACTTGTGAACAGAAGATAATACTTTCAAGCATCCACCACCCCTTCCTCTTAGAATTTGCCATCTCCCTACCATTACCACACACACAGCACCCTGACGACTATCTGTGATTCTGAAACCCATTCTTCTGGCATGCATATGACCTAGGCTAGCTCATAGGAATGCTTTGTGCCCTCAGATACGAGACTTTATTCAGTATCACAAACCTGCATGGGCAACTGATTTTTTTTTTTCAGGATCTTATGTAAATGCTGCAAGAGAAGTAGTTTTATCCCTCTGAAAAGACAAGCAGTAATAGCCATGTAAGTCAACTTTTTACCATTTAGTGGGAACCTGTCAGAGAATGAAGGCAACAGAAAAGAAAACAAAGCAGAGGCTTGAGTGATGGGGAAAGATTCCCGTGCACTTGAATCCAGTGTGACTGATGCTGTACTCCCCTTGAACTTCATACAGGAGCCAGTGAATTTATTTTTTCCTGACCTGGTTTGATTTGGGTTTCTATAACTTGTAACCAAAGGCCTTCTCACGGGTACAGTGGATTAGTATGGAAGTATTTAGGGCAAGCATTGGAATGCTGAAGTGAAAGAGGAAAAAAAGAGCTTCCTTCTACTTTAACAAACCTCCTACTTTTCACCTGGGCTTCTCAGTGCCAGCTCCTTTTTACATTGTCCTACGTGCTCCCTCCCCATAATGGAGGACATTTACCAGTGGGCAAAAGAAGACTGAGAAGAGCAGATACCATTAGCTTTGGTGCTCTGAGTCAGGAATGAGGATAAGGAGAAGCAAGGCAGATGGCTTTCCCCCAGACTTCTGGAACCTGAAAACATGGTGGATGGTACGCCCATGGTCTTTCCACTAATGGAAGTGGAAGGAAGTCATGTTCTAGTACAGTGGCTATCCATGCTATAGAAGTCACAGATTTCTCAGAAATTCTGGTAAAATCTAGAGACCCCATTTTTCCTTTCTCTTCTTAACCATAAGACCTGTCCCATTCCCTCCGGGCAG